AAGGACGTCGTCGAGAGTCTCGATTATCTGAATCGAATCCGGAGAAATTTCATGGACTTTCGAGTCGAGCAGCCGGTAAAGAAGGAGTAATCTGACCGTGTGACAAGACGCCGAATATTAATCTTGTTCTTGGGATTTCTGTACTCTCTGGACTTTTGAGTTGATCGGCCATTGAATGACTAATCTAATCGTCCGATAGGCTGTCGAATGTCACTTTTGGTCTTTGTCGCTGCACGTGTAAACTTTCTTAACTTTCAAGTCAAGCAGCCGGTAAGGAAGGAGTAATCCGATTGTTTGAAAGGTCACCGGGTGTTAATCTTGGTTGGTGCACGCATAAACTTTATTGACTTTCAAGTCGATTAGCCGTTGAAGTAGGATTAATCCGACCATTTGAAAGGTCACCGAATGTTAATCTTGGTTGATGAAAGTGCAAACTTTCTGGACTTTAGAGTCGATCAGCCATTGAAGTTAGACTAGTCCGACTTCGATAGGTCACCACATGGTAATCTTGGTCTTGGTCACCACACACGTAAACTTGCTGGACTTTCAAGTCAATCAGCCATTGATGAAAGACAAATATGATCATTCGATAGGCCACTGAATGTTCTATATAGGTCAGCGAATGTTAATCTTGGTCTTGGTTCCAGCGCACGCAAATTCTATATGAGTATAGGTGTCTTTAAATATTATTCACGAAATTATATTACAAGTGGTTCTATGTTATTACTTGTCACAGTTTTTACTTAGTTCATGATATAATGATGTATAATCGAGTCATGCTTAGCACATAATAATAACAGGAGTAATAAATATAATAGATATATGAATATGACAATGATAATAATAATAATAATAGTAATAACAGTAATAATAATAATAATAATAATAGTAATAATACCCTGTGGAATTGTGTTTTAGATATCAACAGATGTTAAAACCTTGAGCAATCTTCTGGATTTCATAATGTGAAATGCGTAAATGTGACTTCTTTTTCATGAAACATAAGGAGCAAATAAAGACAAATGTAGTTACCAGGTTAATGTGCATTCTATGTATTTGTTTTTATTCAACCCAGATAAAAACTAATAACACTAGAGAATAACTCAAACCCAATCTTTCTAAAAATTTACGATACAGGAAACACATACGACAAACCCTCGCTAAAGGGGCAAAATGCGAATATGCGAAACCTTGTGCCGATCTCATGTGCATCCGATAAAATAGCAGGTATAATATCCCTGCAGCATGTTTAGCATACGCAAAGTAACGATGTGATGTTGTAACCATGGCAACAACTTACCTCAAGCAGGTCGTCAAGGAAGCTGCACACAAGGATGTCTTGTATCTTCACTCGGCCCGTTCGCATCGGATCCAAGAAGAAGAAGAACTTTCGCACGGCCGTGCACACATAGAACGAGTGAAACGACTTCTCGAGCCCATCCAGCTGCAAAGCGACGACGATTCGGTTAACGCAACTTTGCACGTTACTTGGGATTATCTAACAGCAGCAGTGTCATGCGCAGAATGGTGTAGCAAAGGTAGAGATGCTCAGCCATGTATGACAGTCATGTGTCTGCAACTCACCTGTGGAAGTGTTTTGTAACTTTGCACGTTGTGATTATCTAACACTAACAGCAGCAGTGTCAGATGAATAAAATAATAAAATATAATAAATAAAATAAATAATAATATAAACAAGTGCCGCATAAGCGACAGCGTCTCTATCTCACGTTCTACTGCGGTGACTCACTGTGGCTGGTTGAGTACGAGTAATTCTTTTATAGTACAACCTAGTTAGTTCCCAAAATGTGATTCACATACTAGCGCCGAAATAGTTGTTGAATGCCACAGAGATTAATGTATCGGTATCAGGCAACCTTCTCAAAAGAATGTTCGTTGGGATCGATTATGAAGTTGCCACGAGGATGGCGTACTAGGGCTACTCTATGTGATGTATTATTGCATTATTACTCGTCCATGTTTGTACTATAGGTGAACATTTCTAATGTACGATGAATAGAGGCATATGATGTGCGCGATGTATTATTATATTATGAAAACCAAGCTTATGCTGTCGCTGTTATGCTGTTGGTCGGGGTCTCAGCCGCTTCGGTTATATTTGAAGTCAGCCTGACGCATAACTAAAATTACAATTCATAATAAAACTTATTACATCACAGTGTAGAAGTAGACGGTGTCTTGTTGACACTTTTATGTTTGATATTTTTCATTGAAACTTGCCAAAAGAGAGCAGCTCCAATGCAGTGACAGACTGTGTCTTCGATTGTTTATTCCTGGTACAATTAACGTTCAACAACTAGCTGAACGGCCCTAGCGATTTTGACGGCTTCGGCCAATAATGGTTATCGGACGGGAAACTGTTCGTGGTGTGTTCGGGGTTTTGGCTGTGTTCATATCTATATTTCTGATTATTTACGTCTGACGGTTCTAGTCGTACATTGTTGTATTCTATATAGCGGTGAAACAGTTTCTTTATTTACATCGAAAGAAGATGGGTATTATTTCCGCATAATAATTAATGGTATAAAGACCCTAGCTGTATGTATCCGCTGCAGCTGAACGCTTCGTTACATTTGCAAGCCACTGACGTCATAAAAAATACAGATTCATGAATAAAACTTTATACAAACACGGTAGACAGTAAGAAAGGTGTGACACTTCAGATTTCACTTAAGACTATTTTTATTGGAACTCTGCAAAGAACAGCAGCTCAATGCAGTTGAATTTCAACTGGTGGTATCCAGGGTTAAAATTATCGACAAGTGGTCGCTCGGGCAGCTACGGATTCGTGCGCCGGCTTCTGCATTCGGTGCGCACTGGGATTCATTAGCCTTCGCCAGCGCCTGGCATACTGTCGTAGGACGTTCCCGAGTGCCGGTCGCTTGCGCCTTGCCGCGGAACTCCGCCGCGCAAGATCTGCGCTTATAGCGCTTGGGATCAACACCCCCTTTCGGCAACGCTTCTCTAGTATCCCGTCTCATCTGGCTGTTCAGAAAGGTTATTTGGGCTTTTAAATATGTATTTTAAATTCATTGGGCCATGTTTCTATTCACCTATAATAGCGTTATTGGGCTGAAAATGAATAGTTTGAGAGATAATTGACCTCCAAATCTGAAAATAACAGCCATTTTTAAATATGCAAATTAGGTAACTTATGGGTTGAAACTTGTGTCCCATTTTGGATATGTCATTAAGAAGTACCTAATAAACAAGAATCAACAATAAAACAAACTTTTGCAATTTGTTTGACTGAAAAGTCCAAATCTCCTCGTCTACTTGGACAGGCTACTAAATAACTTTTGTTCTTTTTTTGCCCCGTTAGGACAAAAAAGCACCCTACCTAGGTTAGTAGATACTAACCATATCTGATACGTATATCAAGATATACCTTCATGTATATGTGTTTCCACACATACAAGGCTAGGCGAACACTACACCTCACCAGCAAACTAACAACTGGTTTGGCCATGATCTTAACCAAAAGGGGCTGAGATCAGATAACTACGTTACGTAAGCCGGAATGGTCATATCATGTGAAGCAGATAGTCTGTGGTGTCACCCAATTGTGGTTCGCTTTACAAGATTTTATTTAGTCTTGTTCACAATATCTTTTATGCAAAATTGCTATTTTCTCACCACCCTGCTGATATACGGTCTATAGAATAATAAAGTTGATGCAAAAAATGTCGGAACGCTACGTAACCAATTTATTTCCAATGCCATCGCTAAGAAATATAAAAGCATGTATAGCGCCATCTGCCGTCACAAATTGTGATACATAATATACTATTATCAGGTGTATAATATAAACACTATGATTATACACTCCTGCCAGAACGAGTGCAAAGGCGTGTTCAATAGCCGGAAATTTCTTCGACATTTCGGCACCTGCCGAGACGGTCGCCAACTCGCGAAACGCGTGTTATCGCGATGAGTCTTATTCGGTTCGTATTACATAGGACAGGGGTAACGGGGTCGCTGTAAAACTTATAGTAAAAAAGCATAAGAAATTCTTATGGAAATCAGCTTGTGGCAGTGGTAGAATTGAGCCAGAGCGAGAGCGCCATCTGTCGTGGAGTTTGGGCGCTGCCCACTACAGTGGCGACACCTGTAGGGTGATCGAGAAAACAAACGACTGTAGATACGGAGAGACGTTGATATTGACAGGAGTAAATGATCACAAACTCACTAATTTATCAAAACTCCCGATAGTGATGATGAAAGTGGAATAGATACTGATGACTGTGCCAATGTGCTGTAGACTACACATAAGTACACGCATCGGCTTTTACATGTTGTGATTGGGTTCTCCTGCCAATTGAGCCTTTGCTGACAACAGGTTGAGCATTTGAACAACAGGTCATGCCTGTCACACATTTGAAACAGTAACAGTGAATTTGTGAGAGAAAAGAAAACTAGACTGTTGAGAATAAGAAAGAGTAAAAAAACTGTATAGATAAACTCAATGGGATCAATGCATGGATTTTTATTCAAGCAATAATATTTACATATTTACAATCCGTTCACTTTGGAATATGTTTGATGCTATAAAAACGTGGGCGGTATTCTCAATCAAACCTACACATACCATTTATGTACTGGAGATACAAGCATGAAACAACAACAGTACTCTTATCTGTACAATGAAAACCAAACTGCATGCAGCGCCCCCTTCCCACACTCAGGATATACCAGAATATACGTAGAATTGAGCCAGAGCGAGAGCGCCATCTGTCGTGGAGTTTGAATGAAAACCTGATCACTGGTTTTCCTCGTAGTTCAACTGTGAGCGCCATCTAGTGTAGAACATGTCAACCGCTTGGGGTTGGTTCGGAAGGTTCGTTGACCAGTACTTCACGATTCTCGTACATCCAGAACCCATTCAGATCTATCAGGATGGTGACCACTGTGTCCCCTTGACCACTGCAACAGTTGTGCATGCAGTCATGCAGCAGAGCTTACAACCGATTCACGCCAACACCTCGTATATTCTGATCTGCAGTTTACATAGCCCATCAAAATATCATACAGCACTCACTATCGTTATTAATCGTTATTGATGCTATGATCCTTATAAAAAATTACGTTTTAAATCTTACAAAGAAAAAATGTACCGTTATTCATTATGGTCAGTATAAGTAAAAACATTTTACTTTAAAGCTTACTGAATATTAAAAGTGCATCTTACTAAGTAGAGTTTAACATGAATAATTTTACAACACGCGAAATAATTCTGAACTGGTCGATTCAGCATTGTGTAGCAATAATTCCGGACATAATGAAGTAAATGTTTGTTTTTACCTCACGACAAGATCTTGTACGGTGATCCTTAGCGGGTCAATGGTTTCACCATGTTCGAATATCTCGTCTTTTGACGTCATGGAAAGAGCATCGGCGTCCTGGCCATGTTGCTTCATCTGCTTCTGTATGGCGCCTGCACAAACAATGATTCATTATAAAAGGTAGAGAGACTACAAATGAGAAATCACGAATAAAAGTGACACTTTTGTTCGGCTTTAATTAGATAGATATTAGCAAAAAGAAAATCCATTGAATGCAGTGACGAACTTCTTGTTCGCTTTAATTAAGATAGCAGACTACAGAAATAAATCCATTGAATGCTTTGACACTTCTGTTCGCACTTTAATAGATAGCAGGGACTAAGCAAAGAAACCTACTGAATACCTTGACACTTCTGTTCGCTTTAATTAAAATAGAGAAACTACCGCAAAAAAACCTGCACTGTGCATACGACCGACGTTCGTACCCTGAAGAAGAAGTTGAGAGCAAAGACGTCCAGGCAACCCCGGTGTCTCACGTCCAGTATGCGGAAGAGATACTGCATGGCCTGCGGTTCGCGCCTGTTCTCCAGCGCGAGCACAAAATCTAGGTAGGTTTTGTAATCCATCTCGCCTTCGTAAGTGAGACACTCCTGGAAGACTCGGTCCAGGAAGACGTCCGTCAAAGTGCCTGTCCCGTAGCTGCAAACGCAAACCCAAAGAATGGAATATGTGAGAAACTCCTAAAAAACTCATTTTGGTTTTACTCACTCCCAGAGAGATGTATACGCGAGACACTCCTAAAAAAATCTCACTCTATCGAAGAAGAATTCTGTAAGGGTAACTATCCCGTAGCTGCAAATGCAAACCTAACCCTGTTTTAATACGGGGCAGAGTGGTGTCGTAGGGAAGATATCAGGAACGAATAAGAACTAATTTTGGTTTTGTTCACTTCCAGAGAGATGCGTACGTGAAACACTCTTAAAAAATCTCACTCCATCCAGGAAGATGTCTGTAAGCGTGCCTGTCCCGTAGCTGCAAATGCAAACCCAGCCCTGTTTCAATATGGGGCAGACTAGTGTAGAATGAAAGAGCTCAGCAGTGAATAAGAAGAAATTTGTCCTTATCCACTAGTGATGTCACGATCATCGATTATACTCGATCATCGGTTGAACAGTGGCTCGAACCAAGCGCCTAGTGATGTCACGATCATCGATTATACTCGATCATCGGTTGAACAGTGGCTCGAACCAAGCGCTTGGTTATCAAAATCCATAATCGATTTCATCTTCTTTTTTTTTAAATTTGAACAAGAAAATTTGGAAAAGTGATGAGAATCAGTACATGTATTATACACACAGTAGTAAACAGTGCAAAACAAACAGTAAACAGGGCTAAACAAGCACATACATGCACAAGACGTTACGTACACGCAGGCATTCAACACCCCGAGTAACCGATTGTAACCGATCATCGGTTACTTGGATCCAACCGATGATCGATTACGAAATTACAACCGATTGACAACACTATTATCCACTCCTGGAGAGATATTTCTCGTTAAATGCATGATACGTGGAGATGTGAAACAGTTCCCTGACTCGAGTGTGAAGCACTATCGTACATGTGTGCAATCGAGGAAATGGTTTTTCATTTGGTCTGCTTACCTCCTTCAGGTTTGACAGCTACTGCAACAGTAAACAATCTATTTGAACGTTTACGAAAAAAACTCTGAAACGCACTCGAAGTTTATAGAAACTACTGCTAAGAACCGATTGTAATTTCACGCATTATATGCTGTTGCAGTTACGAGTAGATGTCAGCAAAGTGATCAGTTACTGAGTTGTTGCCGGTTTCTACTTCAGCTGTTCTCACTAAAATGTTTCTAACCGCAGAACCTATGCTGGCACTCGACTCACAGGGNAAACCGCCGTGAGTAATTCAATCAGGGGTTCCTCCACACAAACGGATAGACTCGCGCTCTAACCCTATCCTGTGTTTGGGTTACATTATAATTGTATCTAGGAAAACCCGTGTAACGTGTGACGCGTGTTGTAGAGACGTAATTGAACGGCATTTGTGTCGAATTATTAAGCGATAGAAAGTCTGAAACATTAGGACCTTGGTAGCAAATAGTTTTATTTAGTATTTACTATGAGTATGAGTATGATTTTGTTATTGAATTTGAAACAGTAAGCGACTGTGATGGAATTGTTGTTGTGCTGAGACTGAGTGAGAGTGACGTGACTCGAGTCGTGAGAGCCTCGCATTACAATGAATGTCTGTAGTGCGTATGGTACTAAAAGAAACACATTTTAGGAAGTTTACCTTTTCTTTTGTTGTATGCCTTAAGTGTTGTAATTAAATTTTCCATTGCTTTCTAATGTATGTAATCG